CAAAGCTTAAATAATTGCCTATAAAAACAACATGAAACATTAAATAATCAGTCGCATTAATATCTTATGGCTCTATCTGCAGCTTCTCCACAGTCATTTCTTATGATTACATTTTTCCAAAAGCGAAAAGTGCAGAAGGAAACATTGAAACTCAGTTTGCTGCTCAGTGATGCTAGTTCAAAAGATTTCCGAAATTAAATCCACCAAGGGCCTGATTTGGCCCCCGGTCCTTGAGTTTGACACATGTGGTCTAAACGAATATTTACAATATTACAAATAAAGAACACAAACTAAACAAGCTTACTTTGAGCTGTTCATAAAGCATGTCCATGGAGGTGGGCTCGGGCAGCAGAGGGGTTCTGCTGCGGTTCTTCTCCAGACGGGCCAACGGGATCCAGTGGAGCGGGGGGTCACGAAGGCTTTAAGCGGTGTGGAAAAGAGGGGGTGAAAAAAATTAAATCACAAGGAACTACCAATAAAAAACTCAGGTCGAATAACTGTGCCTGTGCCTCACGTCAAATGTAATAGACGTTGCTTTCAAAAGACATTCGGACACTCATTACAGACACACATTTCTTTAAAAGCCTGTTGCCTTGACTCCTCTCTTTCGAGTCCCTTAAGCTTTGACATGCTCAGTATGAGTCAGAGCAGCTCAGTGGTGAGTTGGAGTCCGTCCTTCAGACAGAAGCCTGATGTTAAAGCCTTCTTTGAAGCTGGGTGCTCTTTGTATGAGTCAAAATAAAAGGGTGTAACAAAGTACTCTTCCTCACCTTGGAGGGGTTGGAAACTCCTTCATGGTCACCAGTAGGACGTTGCCCTGCCGGTCTTTCAGAGGCTCATAATAAACCTGGCCCAGGTCCATAGTTCCCAGAGAAGACTGAAGGCAGAGGAAGGTAGAACAGAAAGGTGAGGATGAATACATATGAGGGATTAATGCACTGAAACACAACACAGGTTTGTAGATAGGGACGCGAGGCAGCGGTGAGGAGAAGAGATGTTAAGAAGTCATTCAAAAGCAATTAACCCACTGTGATGCCTCTCACTGAGCGGATGGACTTCCTACCTGCAGCTGGGAAACAGCTCTTAAGATGTTGTGCCTGTTCTGGAGGAGGGAGGAGGGGGAGGAGTGGGCGAAGGCGAGGGCCTGCTGTAGCCACGGCACCTGCTGCCACGCACACGATAACTGTTGGAGAAAATACAAATCATAATTAAATGTAACTGGGATTCACAAAGAAAAATTACATAGCCTGACTTTAAAGGTCCCATGTTATACTGTTTTTCATCAATATATTATAGCTCTCAGATATACACAGAGCCTGTCTCTGATTGGCTGAAACACCAAACAGATCATTGCAGCATTACCCATAATCCCCTCTGTTTCAGCCCTGTTTCCAAAGTGCTGATTCTCTGTCTGTTACTTTAGATGAAAATAAGGAGGTGATAAGGGGGGAGGGGGTTACCTTGGTTGCTGATTGGCTAATGGTTACACAAGCCAAAACATCGTTATGACATCATAAAGTGGCCAAAATCTGATCAGCTCATTTTCAGACAGGTTTTTATAGAAATGGATCAGGACAAAAAGAGAGAGAATCTTTGTTCCTGAAACTTTCAGAGTCTCTTTCCACAGAGGGGACACATGTTGATGTAGAAGAGACATGAAGAAGAGGGGACACATGTTGATGTAGAAGAGACATGAAGAAGAGGGGACACATGTTGATGTAGAAGAGACATGAAGAAGAGGGGACACATGTTGATGTAGAAGAGACATGGAGAAGAGGGGACACATGTTGATGTAGAAGAGACATGAAGAA